AACTGAGTTGTGTACACTCACACTCAGATATATTCACTAAAATAAGATCAATGCTTCTTGCATCCAAGGAGGTTGTAGTCTCATGAATCGGTATCAAGAGGCAGACATAATGAAGAGGACGTGTTGCCAGACGGCATAATCCAAAGCTCAAAGTTCTGTTAACCATTAGGTACAGATAATGCCTATTTAATGCACTAGGATCACTCTTCCTCCTCATCATCTCATGTTTGGCTGAGGCTATTCTGTACCATACTTCGCAGAGTCCTCGATCTCTGAGATGGGATTAGCCAAAACGTATGTATGTAAATCCCCTCAACGGTTTGGGTAGTCAACAACACTTGGAGGGTCTACGCGTCCCCAAGCATAAGCTAGATTCAGAGAGCAGCATCGTCATGCTAAGGGCTACCCCACTATGCCAGGCCACTTATCGCAGTAGATCAGGAGCACCCCCTTATTCTTTGTGTGACTAGGGACCGACTGCTTCTCATTCCTTGAATCTTGGTGGGACCCACACTATAAACGTGCTTCTGCGTCGAAAGTTTCGGTTACTGTAACGTTGATGTATGAAGACTTAATTTATTGATGAAAAATAGGTCGCTCTACAATGAATCCAACTATGGACATATGCAACTACACCCACAGCAAACTCGTACAGCTGTGGATGTACAATAAAACACGTTTGCTACAGAAACCTCATATTACAGCAATAGAGCATCATCAAGCCCACATTGTTATCAAGCAAAACATCGAATGCAAGAAGCGAATAAGTATTGAAAAAGACTATACACCACAACATGACCAATGAGTGACGTGCATTGAGCTATTGATATTTGGAGGCCTAGGTCGAGGAGACGACAGGTAGCCGCCGTTGGCCCTCTGCCAATACGAACCAGAGTGCCATTCTGAAGCTGAGTATTCGCATCTTCGTCAAAATCAATGGTAAAACGAAGATCTCCAATATCACTACGAAAGCTTCTGAATACACTCTCAACTCCCATGCTGCTTCCTAACAGGGACCTAATCCGTATCTTACCAACTCAACCTCAAGATTCCTACCTGGACTCCTGCCCATCCTAGCATCAACCTGATTTGACATTTCCATTGTATTCCTAGCCGGGGTTTGTGTTAGCTCGGAAGATGCAAGAGTCGACATCAGAAGAAGCCCTTCATTATTGTCATGTAATATTAACCTCTACACACGATGTTGTGTACGAGGACGATTCATGTATTGCTCGCATATTGTATATCCGTGGCATCGTTGTTCGCCAATATATTCGAGACTACGGTTTGAGACGCAGACGAAGCAAACACAACCGAGCCAATGAGGGCAATGTGGATTCATTTTACGATAAAGTGACGCAGAAAATATAAAGTATTGGCCGGGACCCACAATACTATCGCAAGTTACCTCTTATCTGTACTGACATAACACGAAGCATACTTCAACTACACGAGGTGTAGGGAGTAATACCAAATTATATGCGATAATCTATGAACTCTCGATTGACTAGTAGTGCATAAAGCTGATCATACTGATAATGAACCACGATATGGTCCCTTTCATCCACCTAACCCCGGTTTGGGGGAATACAACACCGGAGCTTTTCACTCTGATGTCCTTCCACCCAACCTGACTGATAATTTGCGCATACACACCATTCGGGAGGGCATGATTCAAGTATCCTGCAAAGAATATGAGCCTACTCTCATCACCAACCTATATCGTGTATTGGCCGAAACTGTTGTTCGCCGTGACTGACATCAAACCCGAGCGACAATCGAAGCCGCAGCTGGTACGAAGATCAACCCAAGCCCCATTCCTTCGTCTTGAGGATCTACTGTGGACATAGTCAATACTGTACGGGAAAATATGCACATGGTCATGATATGGATCATGTGAGAAAAGTTTGGGAAATTATCATTGGTTTCTGCGTATTGAATGGGAATCATAAAGTTGGAAGTTAACCTTTCAACTTGCGCGGGGAAGATCACAATCTAAATGAGCTGAGCATACACCACCCTCGGGGCCTTGAACGGTTGATATTCATGCCCTCTTATTTCAAAGTACTGGATGATGATATCTTGTGAGGCTAGCTAGTCCTTGACGTGGTAGATATTATCATACCATAACTCCCCGAGCTCACCACCTTCTGTATGAAGGGGCTGTCTCCAATGATAGTATTATTACGAACAGCGTCCTCAGCAGAAGACACTCCCATATACCATCCGACTTAGTTCCACTATTTATACACAATTCGAGATAAGAAACGAAGTAAGTTACGTCATTGACAAATTCATATTCCACCGTGACAAGAATGTGTTGAGAAAATACAAGGAATGGCTAGATTGATAAGAATGATCAAGTTACAGGAGCCTAGTTCTTGTTGTACCACCAACGACGGTCTAGCCTAGCGATTAGCATTCGATACACGGAAGGGATTGGCATGAGTTCTACTCTTTGGTATCTTGTTTAGTTTTGATTCGGGTGTTTTCTGCTGTAAATGGGGTGATACGTCGTCGTAACCTACCTATACTGTATCTTACGTAGTTGGACTTTGAATACTCTCCCTTTCATGCCATCTACAGACCAACAGCAGCAACAGGAGGTTGGCCCTGAGGACTTCACCGATACCGACCCGGAAACGCAAGCCTTCCGAGTCCCTCCAAATCAGATGATTAGGGAGGGTATGGTCCCCACCGATTTCCAAACCCAGCTTATCAGCGAACTCGACCTTGGTAAGTTGTGGAGGTATTTCTCGAAGTAGGATTCCGTCCAGGTATGACCGGGAAACCTACTATGGGTGAATACGTTATTGCCAACCCTAATGACAGTTTCGGATCGAGAGTAAGTAGTCCACTTCGTTGTTTATTAAGTTACCTTCCCCATTCAGGACGAGTTGTTGAGGATCCTGACTGCCATTAGATTGGCCGCTAAGATTGTGAGTAGGGAGATTAACAAAGCTGGAGTATCCACTCAAGTGTTGGGCTTGGCCAACAACACTAATGTCCAAGGTAGAGT